AAATCCCCAAACCCTGAATCTCCTATATCCCTAAATCCCTAAACGCTAAATCCCTAAACCCTAAATCCCTAAACCCTAAATCCCTAAACCCTAAATCCCTAAATCCCTAAATCCTAAATCCCCAAATCCCTAAACCCTAAATCCATTCTCAACTGACTACGAGCCAGTAACGGTCATGGCCACGGGCGGCTTTGGAGCGATCGACTTTGCCTTCATCACCGCACCTTTGTGGTTTGTATGCGTTTATGGGTTTAGGGGTTTAGGGTTTAGGCGTGTGGTTTAGGGTTTGTGGTTTAGGGTTTAGGGGTTTAGGGTTTAGGGTTTAAGGGTTTAGGCTTTGAGGGTTTAGTCCAGGGCTTGGTATAGGGTTTAGTTTTCGGGTTTATGGCTTAGGTTGTAAGGGTTTAGTTCAGGGCTTGGTATAGGGTTTAGTTTTCGGGTTTTGGGTTTAGGCTTTAAGGGTTTAGTTCAGGGCGTAGTATAGGATTTAGTTTTCGCGTTTAGGGTTTTAGGGTTTAGGTTGTCAGGGTTAGTTCAGGGCTTGGTATAGGGTTTAGTTTTGTGGTTTAGGGTTTAGGTTGTAAGGGTTTAGTTCAGGGCTTGGTATAGGGTTTAGTTTTTTGGTTTAGGGTTTAGGCTTTAAGGGTTTAGTTCAGGGCTTGGTATAGGGTTTAGTTTTTGGGCTTAGGGTTTAAGCTTCAAGGCAGCAACTCGCAATAATGGAGAATCAAATGGAAAAAGAGTGAAACGGAGAATAGGGCTATATGGGGAGTTATAGTAAGTAGTAAGGGCATCTTTGCTACCCCAACCCCCCGATGAACTCAGGGGCCCTACTTTAGTCATATGACAGTCGTAGGGTACGTGCTGAACGGGGTGGGAGAAAGGAAGTCCTTATTGGCTAAGCTCGCATCTGACGAGGCTCTTGCAGGAAATTGCAAAGGTCACGCCAGGTATCAAGGTTCAGAAATGAAAGCAACAAACAGCATGGGATCTGGACTGGGATAGCAACTACCAGCGAGAACAAGTGTAGCCCGCAACCCTATTCTACATATTTAAAAGTTTACATTGCAACTGCTATAAACATAGCTTCAAAGACAATAAGCCCTTATTTCCATTTCCTTTAACTTACCATAATCACCCACGGCACCAGACGCTGCGGCAGCAACAGTGCCCTCCTCGTTCACTTCAAGAGTCGCCTTTCACTGCTGATGGACAAAAACCTGCGTGACACTTAATATGCTCTGAGACCGTAATTCCTAGAGAGTAAATATGTAGGGTCATGCAGGATTTTGTCCCTTAAGGTTAGGGACTCAGGGGCCTTGATTCATGGGAGGCTTCAGGAATCAAAAAAGCATGGTCGGTCCAGCGCACACGCGGGGCCCTGGGGTCTAGAACTTTAGCCCTTCCTCCACCAAAGCTCAGACTAAACAATGCCTAAGATCAGGCCCTAAACCCTAAACGCTAGACTATTGGCATGCTTCCTACAGCCCTCCAGAGTCCATCTGTATTCACGCTTTAGGGCATGAAACCCTTTGGGAACATACCACTTGGAGGGTCAGGGGGGGTCAGCAACTAGGCTAATAAAAGGGGACAATTGGGGTTACTATATGGGTTATAGGAGTCCCCATGCCCCTCCAAGCAGGACTACAAGGAGAGTCTGGGGTTCTGCCCGGCCCCAACAATGACCTTAAAGGATCCACGCTTCAAATTCGTTGGCAGCAAACGAATGAGAACCACAAGAAGGTGAGCCTGACTTACCAGCAACAGACAGAAAGCTACCATTGTGGTCCCAAACCCTAAACCCAAGAATCCACAAGGGCCTCATGTGACGAATCCGTTGCCTCCAGTACTAAATACCCTCCCGCCTCCTGAGATTCAACATGCTTCCACCCCCCCATATGAGCCATAGTCTAAACTCCTTAAAGGGGGTTATGTAGGGGTTTATACATGGGAGTATTATAGGGGTTATTAAGGGTGATACTAGGAGTTTAGACTATAGCTCATATGTTCTGATCCTCATGATAAGGCATAATATCATGTAGAGTTGGGAGTTTTTCGCAATGAAGGTTACTTACCGAAACTTAGGGCTGATTCAGGTAAATTAATGGGGAACCTAGGGGTGGGGTAGCCACCTCAGAGAACCCATAACTTGCTGGCTCTTAGTAGGGAAT